ATTGACAGAACACGATAAAAAACCGTCCCATGTTTTTCACCATTGCAACTCAAAAAACCATAGTATATCAATTAAAAACACAGTAATTTTAAACAAAGAACCAAACATGAACAAACGAAAAATCAAGGAATCCATCTTAATTGAACAAAACAACCCTACTCTAAACCAATACCCTGGGGTGCCAAGAAATCTCTTCTCAGTCTTGCAACAGTATCTGGTCATGTGACCTCTTTGTTCCATACCGTGTCAGTGTAAACTACTTGTACCTGATGATGACAAAACCTTGTCGAAACTTTGTACGTTTGCTGTTATGTTAAACTTATATTAAAGTTTTTCTTCATTTCCCATTCAAGCCGTCTCCAAGCATTATTAGTCTCAAAGTGGGTTCCTTGTCATCAAATTTAAATAAAACTAGATTAAAAACATGAAGTTCATTCTCACATCAATGCAGTTACCTTATTACCTGAACTATATTGTATCATGTTCTGAACAATAAGTAGTATGTGATTTCATTCTAACAGTTGTTTTTTATGGTAAACAGTCTTACAGTGTAATGTTTAGTTTAAATACTGCAATGAATTGTTTGAAAGTTGCATGACATCTATTTGATATTTGTATTCTTCAATATATTTTTCACTGAAAAGTTGCATATAAACAACCAATAATGATAAAACAATAATGAAATAAAAATTTTCACATATTTAATTTTTTGAACACAAGTTGAATAATAGAACATGAGAAAAACAAGTGAACAAAGGACAGTAAGTCACTTCAACAAAATATAAAGTGCTACTATAATTTTATAGTAATATTGGTATTAATCAATTTTTTATTTAACCCCTCCCAAAAAAAAAAACATCGTTTGATATAAAATAATCCTCATATGTTCACACAGCAAAAGAAACAATATTTAGTTTTTTTTAATGTTACTGTGATCTGCAATAAAATATACAATGTTAAAATGTAAAAAAAAACATTTTTAAGCTAATCAGTTAAAAAATCAAACTGAACACTGACACTAGAATACTTTTCATTGATAACTGCAATTATTAATTAATGATTGGACATTTTAAGTAAATTACAGTATCACAAGAAATAACATAACATGTTTTGGGACAACATGGGACCTAATGGTCCATTTTGGCTGTTCCATCCTCTAAACTATATTAAAGTAATTAAAAAATATATATATATTAAAGCTAGCCCTTATTATTCATATACTTATCAAGCTTTTTCTTAAACTCACTTAAATTTAATGCCTCTACAACATCTGGAGGTAACCCATTCCAAAGGCCAACCACCCTGTTAGAAAAATGAAACTGTCTTAGCTGAAGATGACTCCTACCTTGCCAAAATTTACATTTGTGTCATCTAGTCCTACTATTCTCACTGTTAAATATAAAAAAAAGATGATGCATCAACACTACCAATTCCCTTTACAATCTTAAACACCTCAATCAGATCTCCCCTAAATCTTCTTTTTTTCAAGAAAAAACAGTTTGAGAGATTTTAGCCTCTCCTCGTATGACAACCCCTCCATCCCAGGCACCATTCTAGTAACCCTTTTCTGAACCTTATCCAACAATTCAACGTCTTTCTTAAGGTAAGGATCCCAAGACTGAACACAATATTCCAAATGTGGAATAACATGTGGAACACTTTTCATTCTAGAAAAGCACTTACAGGAAAAAGTAAAAGCCCCATGCTGTTCCAGCACCCCAGCAATTTGGTGTGACTCCACGATACAATCCTCGGGCACCTTCTTCTTTCAGGATTGTTGAAACGGCATGAACAAGCCCTTTGTATTGAGGTCTACTCTTTAAATGACCATCATTAACTGAAAGATAAGTTTGGGTAAAAAAGATTTAAATTCTAAAGTTTTCCTTATTACATACATGATGTAAAAAAACAGTTTCTGAGAAAGGAGAAGTTTGCTATGAATGGGCAAGAATCAGATTTATAACAAACATCTAAATCATAAAAGGTGTTGCATAAGTATTTTTAAAAGTATCTTATTACTTAATCTATTTCTTTACAAAATTAAACTCATGACTGTTCTGTTTTGTTTCTCTTAAGTTTACTTTTTTAAGCATTATTTTCTTCAAAATCCTATTCATTACACAGTGAAGTTGTTACAATTTCTAGTTTTCAGTAAACCTCAACATTTTAAGAATAAAACTGAACTGTGTGCCATTTTGTATAGATCACATCTTTGTAACAAAATACAAACAGAGAATTATGAAATACAAACTTGACATGAGGTATATGCAAAATACTTTAAATGGTAATGGGCCTATTTCCTTCTGAACATGGCTGGTCTGAGTGTTCTTAAACAGTGATGCTAAATGTACTGCCCTATTTTTCCATAACTGCCATAAGTAGTTTATAAAACAATCAAAATGAATCATCTGTTATAAATTGTTAATTCAGTTATAACTAAAGTATACTAGATGAAAATGAAATGCAAAACTGCTAACACATACTTCTCAGATAATAGTGTTGCAAGGATTTTTAACTAAAGTTAAGTTCAACAGTTTTATTTCATACTAAATGAAAAATAAACAAACCGTCAAAGCTTTGTAATGTTCACTAAATCAAAACAAGATGTATATATTACTATACTTATTAGTGAAGTATCAAAGCTTCTGTTTCTGTTCAAACTGTGAAATGGCTTACTAACTTTAGTGCAAACAAGATTAACATACAGGTAATATTAATGTCAAGTTATATAATAGTCAAAAAGAAAGTATATTAATTGTTTTTACAACAGTGTTATTAATAATATCACTGATTCTAAGAACTTATGAGTGGAAGCAAAGAATTTTTTTTAAATGTCAACCACGCTACATCTGCCATATCCAGTACTGACAAGGCCTTCTGCTCAATACCAAGGCTTATCAAGCTGGCTGGGATAAGACAACATGGTAGTGGTTGATGCTATTTATATTATCAAATGTTGTGGTGTGAAACAGATTAATCAAGTGAATTTTAATCACAGTGATGAGGCCTTCTACCCAATACCAGGATTTATAAAGCTGGCTAGGATTAGAAAGACATAGTAGTGATTGATGCTATTTATTTTATCAACTGTTATGGTGTGAAACAGACTAATCAAGAAAATTTTAATCATTATGAATTTTATTTAACCATAGAATGCCAGCATTGGATCACAACATGCTGGCATTCTTCTTTTTAGGGTTAAGTCATTTACAAATCAGAATCAAGTTAAGGATTAATAACATATTATTTATTTTCAAAAGTAAAAAACAATAACTTATATGATTAATAGCCCATTACGTAGCTTTGTGCTTAACAAACATAATGTTTTGATTACTTGGAAAGTTGGAATAATCAAATATAGTAAAATCATGAACCATAATACTGATTAATTTTTTATTGTGACAAATGATTTAATCATAATTTTGATTAATAAAATATTAATCCAAAAAATTAATAATTAAAAAAAAACAATTTCAATTAGTTCCCTTTGTGAGTTGATAGAATTGTAATTTTGATTACTCGATTGTTGGAATAATAACATTCATATCAAATAATCTAGTTTTAAGTATTATTTTGAGATATATTAATTATCGAGTTAATTTTAGATCTAATCTCGCTTTGATGAGAAATTAATGATGAAACATTAGTTTAAAAATACAGCTGCAATTTACACACCAGCAAAACGAATTTTTAATAGTTCCAGTGGGTGAAGAACTAATGTTGATGCAACTCCACCACTCACACCAGCTAGAAGGTGTTCATATTTCACGTGGAACAACACCGAGTAAAACGGCAAAGTTCTTGTGGCTGTGCCACTGCTATGCTGTTGATTCATGGAAATTGGCGATATTTTTTATTTTGAAAATTGCAATTTGTTAGACTGCTGTGACTAGAGTTATAATACCAAGTTAAAAATCAAAACAAAATAAAAGTTTCATTTCTAAACTTATCTCGTTAAATTACAAGAGATCAATTAACGAAGGTAACATATACAATTCACCATCTTCTCGTCTTCCACATGTCTCCAAAGCTTCAGATTACATAACCATATGGTCTCTTTCGCCATCTGCTGGGAAAAATATGTAAACCAAATATACAAGAAAATATATGAGGGCTGTCTGCGGTAGACGTCCCTAATTTAGAAGTGATGGACTAGAGGAAAAGGCTGCTAGTCAACATCGCCAACTCTTGGGCTACTCTTTACCAATTAAAATTGGGATTCACTGTCATATTATAACGCCACAACAGCTAAAAAGGCGGGCATATTCGGTGATGGGATTCAAACACGCGACCCGTAGATTGCAAGTTGAGTGCACAGGAAAAATCCTATTATTTATGTCAATGTAAAGTAAGAAATATTGAAATGTTTTTTCAGCAAACACAGCATAAATACTCTTGTTATAACTTAATGAACTCAAAAAGATATAAAATGATTAAAATAAAGATAAATATAATCGTGTGTTCTCAAAGTTAGTGTTTCAATAACATGTCTTTAGATGGCGCCACAGAAGGAAATCGCGCAATGAGTAAAGTACATTCAAATTATAAAGACAATCAACATGGATTCGTAAAAATCTTACTGTACTAATCTGTTGAATGATTTTACGGATATTACTTATTACCTGGATGATGGAAATTGTGTGTGAATTCGTTTTACATAGATTTATTCAAAGCTGCTGCTGATGTGCCACACAGTCTAGTTAACTGGAATGTTGGATATAGAATGGAACTTTATTACTAGTAGTACTTGGACCATTGTTTTTATTCACATCAATGGTATTGGTAGGGGTATGATAAGTAACATTCTCTAATGTTGTTGAACACTTGGGATTTTTTTATCTGCATTGAGGATGTTAAGATACCATAGAATGATCATATTGTAGCATGAGCGTAATTTCACAAAAGGGTTAGAGGAGGGGGGGGGATTGACTGACCTCGCATAAGCTACCCAATTTAGCTGAGAACGCTATGTTATGGCGTAATTTGCGTATATGTCTTAATCTGCCCTGACTAGAAATGTCTTACAGAAATTGACATTTGGGTCGTCCTTTCGAGCTTGAAGGGAGTGGTCACTTTTGTGTTGTCAGCTGATTTGATTTATACATTTTATTGTTGTTTGTCCAGAAAGAGTTTTGATATTATGTGATGGGCGTGGTTTAATAACTAGAACTTTCTTGAAAATTTAGGAATCGACTTGAACAGTATAAAATACAATCTGAGATAGAGCAGCTGATGATTATTGACTTAGCAAATTTGTTTGTCAGCTTTTCCTTTACAGTTAGTCAGTTATTCCATTTTTGTAAATAACGAGTTTGTGTGTCAATGGAGTAATAGGGGTTGAAAAATTGCCGTACATACGAAAGAAGTTAGCAGGTAAGTGAAGTTGTTGTATTAGTGTTTACTGTGAATTTAGGTCTTTCGGCAAACATTAGTTAAACTAACTTGTTGAAATGTAGTAAAAAAAAACTATTTTATTACGATTAAGTGGACTGCACTTTGCAGTCTTCTTCTTCTTTTTTTCACTGAATGATCCAAAGGAACTCGCTCAAAATAGAAACTTTTACAACAACTTGGGTCGATTGGTAAGTTGAACAAATACTTTATAAAAGACAGTTAATTATAATAAGTGCAGGGTAACCTATTTGGCTCACACATTTAATATTGAAAATCCACTTAATAGTGTGATTAAAGAATATGTTCTTTGCATAGAGATGGATAAGTCACACAAGCCATAGAAGCAGTGCTCTGTTGCTATTAGTAAATCTAAGAAAATTTTAAGATGTATTTGTAGACATATTAATTACAACTAAAAGTAGGTAATCGTCTTTCTATACATGTCACTAGTTAGGCATCACTTGGAATACTGTATATTGTTCTGGTCTCCTTATTTAAAAAAAAGGATATTAATTTATTGGAAAGGGTTTAGCAGAAGGTTAGTAGGATGATTCCGAGGATGTAACATATTAACATATCGGAACATAGGAATTTATTTTCTCTTAGTTAAAGCAGGATAAGAAATTGAAGTTTGCAGTAATTTCTGGTGAATCAATAAGACAAAGGCCTCTGATTTCTTTGTGCCGTATTTTGAAGACAATAAGACGAGATAACAGAAGTTTATGATTTGGAAAAGAGAGATAATGCTCCAGCTAAGACAGTTTTATTTTCTTAAGAGGGAGACTCTGAGCCATCCCATGAGCCACTATGCTGTGGCTAATAAGCAGAAGTTTCATACTAACGAATTTCCGTTATTAAACTAATGATAATGCATTTTTTTTAGAATTAGTTAGAGGTAGCAATAAATGTTTTTGTAATTCGATATTGCAAAAGGAAACTGTGTTTTAGTGGTATGTGTTTTTTAAGAATAATACATCATGCTTCCAATTATGTACAGATCACGATAAGCATCTTTGCGATTCGGCATTATAGATGGAAACTGTCGGTTTTATAGGGGTCGAATTCTTTGCAGTAGGTGTCTGTGACTTTTGGTGATACATTTGAGCAATAAACAGATAACACACAATCCACTTATCTTAAAATAATATACTCAAAACAAGTCAAACATACGTACAAAAATTCGTTACAGTTGTATTCAGAGCTTTAGATAATTGATCTTTTTTTCGTCAAAGTCCACACAGACGGGTTTAATTAATTTAGAACACCTTTTACAAGGCAAATTATTTCCTCTCTTCTCTGTTATCACAATGCAGTCAGTGATAAATTCAGTTACGTCACCCCGTGGGTTGCCACAGTTGTATCCAGAGTTTTAAATAATTCTCTTTTACGTCAAAAGTCCACACAGTCTGATTCAATTACTTTAGAACCCTATTGACAAAACAAAATATTCTTCTCTATCTCTGGTATTACAATACAAGCTGTGATACTTTCACTTTAGAAACTGCCCATTACCGCGAAACTAACAACCATGCTGTCTATCTTCACTTTTCTTTCTCTTTCTCTTAACTTCCTCTCTGTATTTGCACGTATTTATAACATGCAACAGAAAAATCTAGAAATATCTAGCCCTCTAATCACAACAATATTATTCACAACGAGAAAACTTAGAAGCTTCGAGTAAGATGACGTCAACAATATTACAAAAGTCTGGTACAACAATTAAATTGCATACACAACGTACGACTTGTACAGAGTTAGGTAACGGAACTTGTCATAACTATCGCTTTTAATTAAAATAATTAACTTTTAACATTCGTATTATGAAAACTAAATAATCATTAGATATTAAATCACTAAATAAACTAAATAATAACTCTTAAACTGAACAGTCTTTTATGTCCAACAGAAACTGTTTAAGCAGAAAACTGCTCAATGGGATAATTGCAATGTACCACCACGAGTATCGAGACCCGATTTTTAGCGTTATAAGTCTTCATGTTTACCACTGAGCTCGGTAGGAAATTACATGCATAAATAAGGTTGTATGTGCATGAATGATTGTAGTTCTGATAGATCTGTAGATACAAATAAGGATGCCACATAATAAACGAAAAATACTAAAAGTATTCTTCTATGTGTTTCTATTCTATAATATCTTGAAAAATATTCTTATGCTTGTATCATATGTTGGATTAAGGACTTCAGCGTTAAAAAAATCCTTAAAACGTGCATAATTTGAGCTGGTCTACATTTTAAAATTGCATTATGAAAGAAAAAGAATACTTAGCACCCCCTCTTGGCCAATTATTAATAAGAACTTTATAGTGAAAGTAAGTGAGAGTATATAGTAGTATGTCAACCACACTATATTTGCTACATCCAGTGATAATGAAGCTTTTGGTACAATGTCTTTAATAGCAGTAATCGGTATACTGGATCAAAAAGCTACCCGAATTTTTGAGGCTATATCGGATTTATATTTATATGTTTATAGATAATATTTTGACTTCCTAGATATTTTTTAAGAAGTAAAAATTTTTAATGAGCAAAAAAAAAAAAAAGAAGAAATACTTTAGTAACGTAGAAAATCTTTACTACGTTTCTTCTTGTCAAGATTATCTTTGTAATGAAATGTTTAAATAAGATGCTGAAAATGGATTTAAAACAGGAGTATTAGGTATTGTTTTCTAAATGTTATCAACTTAGTCTTTAACATGTAATATAACTGATATAAATAGCACAAACCGAATGTGTAATTACATATAAAACAGTGCCTTTCGTTGGCTCAGTGGTAAGTTTGAAGGCTTATAATGCTAAAAAATTGTGTTTCAATACCCACGATGGGCTGAGCACATATAGCTCTTTGTGTAGCTTTGTGCTTAGCAACAAATAAGCTTAGATAACTGTGAAAAATTAAACTTCGAGTGAATATAAAATAATCGTTTCAAAACCAACAATACACAAGCTTTGAATAAAGAACGGTACGAACACAGTAATTTTATTTGAATTTTCCTAAATGGGACATTTACAAATCCTATTCACCATCTGGCATACAATTAGGTTAAAAGTTTTGTTTATTATTTTCACTAAGATGTTTCTCGCAAGTTCAGTGAACTGGATATAAAGTTGTTACAGTTTTCAGTTCAGCCAAAAGCGTGTTACATATCACACATTTAAATGTTCTAAATATTCAGTTCAGATTTACTATTTATATAATAGCGTTTCATTAGCCTAACGTTCGTTAAACTGTAACTGCAGATTTTATTATTTAAAAACCAGGCTGCTACCTTTTTTATCTTTATACCAGCACAGCAATAGTATAAGGAATTATTATTTTCGTTCAAGTTAAAAAAATAAGTACAATGTACTCAATATAAAAAATATAAAATAATAGCATAAAAAGAAAAGAAGATCCAGAATAGTACTTGAGTGTGGATTAAAAACAAATAAATTATTAAATCTATATAAATATAATAGTACTGTCTGTTGCCAGTTCTATGTTCATGTAACTACCTTACAGAGTGTGGATGGATCTTTCTTTACTCAAATTGGTATGGAGGTTCATTAGGTCCATGCGGGGTTACATAAAAAATTTCAGTTTTGCGGTTTTTGCCATTACTTCGCCCCCTGTTGATG